CTCATCGTCAACTTAAGTAGCGCCAGGAGGGCAAGGGCTTTTGGCAGGACATGCGCGTGTGCGTGTGTATGTGTGTGCGCGACAGCTTTAGGCTTATAATACAATGCAGCAACTGCGAGATTTTGCACTGCGCGTCATGTCCTTAGCTGCTTAGCAACTACCGTCATCAGCTATAAGAGACAGCGCGGGCTGCGAGAAAAAGAGGTGTCTAACAAAGCTTGAGTAAGGAGGCGCTGGCTAGAAATTAAGGAGTAAGCAATGGGCGAATAAGGGGTGAATAAAGGGGCGAATAAGGGGTGAATACATAGTGAATCTGGAGAAAGTGAAGAGGAAATATTAAGGAGCAAATAAGGCGGACATGAGGAGGAGGAGGAGGAAATAAAGAGGAAATAAGGAGGAAATAAGAAGTAAATAAGGAGGAAATAAGAAGCAAATAAGGAGGAAATAAGGAGTAAATAAGGAGGAAATACGGAGGAAATAAGGGGGGGCTGGGGAGGAAATGGGGAGTACATAAAGGAAATGAAAGGTCTCCAGCCAGTTTGACCCTCTTGAAAAACAAGTAACTAGGCCCGTATTGCGTTTCTGTTGGCCCTCTCTTGTTGATTTGCTTTGAAGTGCGCCGTGACAGAATTGTTGAGTCCCCTCAGCAAGCTGGCTTCTAGATTTGAGAGCGGTAGGAGGACTCGGTCTAGAGTGCCATGGCGCCGAGCACCCCAAAAACGCGTCGAGCCAAGAAAGGACTTCATGAGACACCGCCTGTGCTAATCAGGCGCAGGCGCAAACCCCGCCTTGTCACAGTCATAGAAGAGTCAGAGGGCATCTTTGACACAGCTAGCGCAGCAGAAGGCAGCGTGAAGAGAAAGCACACAATGGACAGCACGCCTAAAAAGTGCCGCGGCAAGGGCAGTGTGGACAAGCTTTCACCTGCAAAGTTGTCTCCCCCGCCAAGGGCATCCCCAACAAGCTCTTCTACTGAGGGCAAGCGTACGAAGACTGAGACTGTGACTAAGCCCTCCGTCCTCACCAAAGGCTGATGTGACATGCCTTCTCATGCCTGGGCGTACTGTTTGCGAACCAAAGACGAAGAAAAGAGTGGCGCATGTTCGACCGTGGAACTGCAGTAATGCGCGCTACACAGCCCATGTGCAACTCCTTCCTGCGCCAAGGTCCTTCCGTCTTTGATGCCGGAAAACTTGGATGGCACCTCTGTCCTGAGGCGCCCCGGCTACCAGCTAGGAGAAGGCCTGCAACTCTTATTTCCAATTCCGGAGTCAGAGAGCAGTTTTGTTCTCCAAGCACCCTCCCCCTATTTTGCTGCCCCGAAACATTATGTATAGGTGCAGGCTCACGTTTAAAGGACAGATTTTTGCTGGCGACCCAAGCAAAAAATACCCGAACTATAGCCGAATAGAAGGCAAAGACATAAAACCGAGCAAAAACACAGAAGCCAGAGCCCAAACACCCCCCCCGATGGATCCTGAATAAATAGCAAATTCCCATTTATTCTGGTAGAACCGCAGAGGCCCAAACTCTCGGGCAAAGAGAAGAAGTGTTTCTTTGTCGCGTTCTCAGTGGAATGCATGGGCGCATTTGTGTTTGGCTTGCCGAAGTGCAGGGTGAGTCTTGTCCCATTGGATGACGTTTCAGGGTTCAGATATGCTGGGCCAAGGCGGTCATCAAGATGCTGCACCACGGCCTGAGCGTCATGACTGGGCATGGCTTGGATGCCTTCATCCCGGAGCCGGAGCACTGGCTCAGCTTGGACACGCTGGACACTGTTGAGCTGCCAGCAGCGAAGGATTGTCCCCTTCTCCGCACTGTGTCTGGGCTTTACTTAAGGATGAGTAGAGGATAAATAAGGGGTGATAATGGGAGTAGGAATGAATAGAGGGCGAATAGAGGGCGAATAAGGTTTGAATAAGGGGTGGATAAGGGAAATAGGGGCGAGTAGAGGGTGAACAAGGGGCGAATAAAGGATAAATAAGGGGTGAATAAGGGGAAGAGGGGCGAATGGAGGGTGAGTGAGGGGTAAATAAGGGGCGAATAGGGGGTAGAGAAGGGGTGAATTGGGGAGAATAAGAGGTGCATAAGGGGAATTATAGAGGTTGAATAAGGGGGCACCCACTGAAAAAATCCGGCTGAGGTGGAAGATGAGGAGTCGGTGCAAACCAAGGCCTGGCGTTACCTCTTCAGCGAGCTCCGGTGCAGGGGGGACGTGGAGGCAGAGCAGAGTCACCCGATGTGGAACAGCTTCAAGCGGGCGCTATCCTCATCGGGTCTCACTGAGGCTGCGCTCAAGCTCAGTATCTGCGCCAACTTTGGACACGGATCGTTTCTCTCGGACGACAAATACCTGAAGCGACGTGAGTGTCTGGAAGAGTATCTTCAACAGCAAAATCCTGATTTCTTTCAGGACCTCTGCGAAGAACTCGGCGATACTGACGTAGCAGCTCCAGGCCAGGAAGCGCTCCGGTTCCACGAGGTGTTGGACAGCGCAGGCATCCGTCGCAGAGGACGCTTTGTGGCTCGTGCATGTAGTCAGTACAGTTTGGTCGTTTCAGGCAAGGTTTAGTATATCATGTTGACATTTCAATAATGGATCCCCAAAAAAGACATGTTTTGCATTGTTGGCTTGCAGAAGGGAGGGGGGCGTGATAATAGTAAACCAGGCGTGAAATACGGGTGAAATAAGGAAAAACAAGAGAATAAGCGTGAAATGAAGGTGAAATAAGGGTGAAATAAAGGTTAAATAAGGGTGAAGTAAAGGTGAAATAAGGGTGAAACAAGGGATTGCCACCCCCCCTTCACAAGGAAATGGGTACATTAGTAGCTTAGCACCAACATGTGCGAAATTAAGGTCAAGGCCAAAAGCTGGTTTGGCATGAATGCCAGTTTCCGGCATATGCTGAAAGACTGGCCGGTTCTTGCAGCAGCCGCCGTGGCCATGGTTGAGCTCCTGGGCCCTGATGCTGCTGCTTGGTAAAGTAATCAGGGTGCTCGCCAAGGGGGGCATGCTTCAGGGATGTTTTCGAGGATATCTGTTTCAGAGTATGTTCAGGGGGTATGTCAATTGCTGCCCCAGCTGATGCCGTTGAAATTTGGTTTTAGTGTTTGCCCTAGATTCAACTCCCCCATTTTGTGATGCTTGTGTCCTACAATCCTACAGACCTGGAAACAACGAGGACCAGGAGGGCGGAGAGGGCAACGCGGCTTGGGATGAGGCCGAAGGGGAACGCGCGCGTGGGCACAGTTCCACAAAATAAGGTTAGGATGGGCCAAAGAGGGCTTGGCAAGCGGAATAAGGCCAGAGCAAATGCAAATTAAGGGGTGAATAAGGACTTCGTGGGCCTGAGAAACCAAGCAAAGTCTGAACTAGCGCAAAAAATAATGGCTGAATAAGGGTTGTGTAGCCCGGAAACGGCTGAAAATGCCGAAGCAAGGGGTTTAGATTGCTTACAGTGAAACAAGGGGATAATAAGGGCTGCGCGGGGCAGAGTAGGTTTGGAAAGTTGAACAAGCAAAAATGAGGGGCGAGCAACAGAAAAAGTAAGGGGTGAATAAGGGCGGCGCAGGCCAGAGCGGGTTTGGAAGGTTGAAACAAATGAAATGCGGGCTGAGCAGGAGTAAAATAAGGGGTGAATAAGGGCTGTGCGGGCCAGAGTGGGTTTGGAAGGTTGAACAAGCGAAATTCAGGGCTGAACAACAGTAAAATAAGGGGTGAATAAGGATTGTGTGGGCCAGACAGGGTTGAATAAGTGCATGGGCCAAATTGGCGCAATTACTGCATTTCTTGATTTCTCGCATGAAGGCGAGGAAGAGGCAGCTGCTGCCAGGGAGCCGATCCTGTCCAAGGCGCAGCTGTACAAGTACTATGCCGGGAAATCGCCGATCGAGCTGTATGCCGAACTGATGTTGCAGCCGGGACTGCGGCAAGATTGCGTGATAATCACGCATGTGGCGGCGCCCCTTGAGGACAAGTACAGCAGTGATTTACGAGCCCAAGCCCAAGGCGTTGAGGAGGTGCTGTCTTGGGCGGTCAAACGGGCGCAGGGCAAAGGGTGGTGCGACACGGCCCTGACAATCTTGAAAGAGGCCCTGAGTGAGGACCTTTGCAGCAAGCTGAGCCTAACTGGGGCTGTACGACTGCCTCTAACGCTTGACTTGAGCCAGGCTTGGATGGTGGAGTCTTGCCAGTGATCAGAAGCAGTTTAGTTTTGTCGTGTTATAATTTCCTGCGACAGCTGGGTTCCCCAAATCCGCCCTATTATTCCCTAAAGCAGGAGGAGCTGCGGGTGCTCGAGCAAGCCGTTGTCTTTGCCAACGAGTTGGCTAGCAACGTGGTCTGGTCGCAACTTGCGCGCCGCTATGCCCTCCCTGCAGCCGGCTGTGTGTTGCTGGCAGAGAAGGATGAAGAGAAGGAAGAAGGCCTGTGCTTCAAACCCCTCGCCTAGGCTCCCCGCCCCTCCGCCTGAACACCCAACCAATTCTTTGACCCTTCATCCAGGTATGGCCTTTCTCAAGGAGATCACGGAGACGGTGCTGCGTCTGCGCACGCAGACGGGGCGCAACAAGCTGCTGGCAGAGCTCATGCGTGACATTGCCTGGACCCGTGAATCCCTGCCGCTCGAGATGATGGCCGCCTTCCGGCAGTCAGAATATGACGCGCACGATCCGGACACGTACGACCTGATGTACGCGTTGAAAGCAGGTGTCCTGTTTGAGTTTGTTACCAGCTTCATATGCTTGTTGTTGGGGGAAGTTCATGGTCCCAGAATTTTGACAAAAGGTGATTTTTGTTCCGAAATGCGCTCAGGCACCTCAAGTACAAAAGATGTGCTTGAATCGACGTTTGCACATCTGACAGATGTGAGCAAGCGGCACTCGAAAAACCAGAAAATGGCTTTCTATAGCCGGTGGTTGTACGCCATCTGCGCCCCGTACTCCAAAGATGCCGCGCCGCAGTTCTTTCCGAACCGGGAGGCTTGGCTGACCTATAGGACCTCGGACCCCGAGCTTCAGAAGGCCTCTTGAAGTTTGAAAGTGGCAAGACAAGTGCCCAAAGCCCTCTCAAAGCCCTATCAGAATGAGACAGAATGCCAGATGAAGAACCTAGGTCTTTGGCCAGATTGGAAACGTGAAGGGCAGCGTGCTACCTGAAATTCAGTACGGCAGGGACCGCCGCTTCCCGCAGCGGCCCGCTCAGATTGTCTACCGGCACGCTGGCCCCCTGTCTCACATGAAGAGCGCAGGGGCTTTGGCCCTGGCCATGCACGACGTCAACAACAATTTCAACAACGTTCAGCACAGCTGGCTAGGTGGATGAAAGGTCAAATAAGCGTGGAATAAGGGTTAAATAGGCCTGGATTAGGGGTGAAATTAGAGGACAGGGTGCGGCAAATGGTGACATAATGGTAGCCCAGGTCTGGATTAAGGTTTGAATACACAGGAAATAAGGGTAGAATAAGTGAGGAGTAAAGCGACATAAGGGTGAAATAAGGACAACCAGGTAAACAGCAATATGAGGGCAGACTAGGCATGAATTAAGCCTGAAATGGGTATGAAATAGGGGATGAATAAGTTTAAGGGTGGTATGAGGGGTGTGGGCAGGGTGATGTAAGGGTAGGACAAGCAGGAATTTGGGGTGCAGCTCTCAACAGGTGCATGGGACCTGGCAGGAGCTTTGTTTACGGCAGGGGGCGTCTTTGTGTACTTGCCCACGTTCAAGTATTGTATTTCGCTTGGTTTCAAGAAGTGGTGCGCAGTGGGACTGCCACTGAAGTTGCGCAACGCTGCGGACGGAAAGGCGAGGGTTGCAATTTGCTAAAACGGATTGTCAGGGGCTTCCTTACTTCAAGTGCGCAGTGCAACTTCTCAATTAGATCAGGAGTGGGGGTTGTCAAGGGCGTTTGGGGAAAAAATGCAATGCCACAGACACTCAGGAGTACCTGTCTGCAAGCAGCCTGGATGCCGTGGCAGAGCCGTTCTTCATGCACAATTTTTCCATTTCGTTGGAGAGTTGGCAGGCTGTGGAGGTTCAACTGGTGCTCCCGTGCTGTATGCCGCCAGAGCTTGGCGGAGGTGTGGGCTTGGAAGCCACAGGCATGACCGACCTCCTGCCGGCGGCGTTGAAGAGGGGCACATTCTTCACGCGGGAAGCACTGCAGAAGTTCACACGTGTGCAGGGATGCACACCCACACAGGGTTCGGGAAAGAACCACGGTGTGGTGAAGGTTGACCTGGCTGTGGCGCTGGTGAAGCATCTGTTCCCGGACGCGCCGGATGCAGAGGCCACCCGCATGGTCAACGCTTGCATGGGCCGTCGCAAGGAGATCTCGCCTGAACTTTTGCAGATTCTGGCGAACCTCGACCCGGAGAACGAGAGTGACGGCCTTTACAAAAAATGAGACAGGAGGCAACAGAGCAACTTGCCAGGTCTCATGCTGCTTGGCTGAATCTGAAATGTTTTCAATTTGTTTTTTTTAGTGGAGGCTTTAATCTTGGTTTCACCGCCGCTTATTCAGGACCTGGCCATTGTTGCGAAATCCATGTTTAATGTGTTGTGGTTTTGGGACCCTAAAAGATTGTTAGGAGGATTAAAGAGGGTGCAAAAATGAGGGTGAACTAAGGAAAAATCAGGGAATAAGTGTGCCATAAGGTGAAATAAGGAAAAAAAACAAGGGAACAAGCGTGAAATAAGGGTGAAATAAAGGGTGAAATAAGGAGAAAATAAGGCAATAAGCGTGAAATAGGGGTGAAATAAGGGTGAAATAAGGAAAAATAAGGGAATAAGCGTGAAATAAAGGTGAAATAAGGGTGAAATAATGGAATAAACGTGAAATAAGGGTGAAATAGGGTGAAATAAGGGTGAAATAAGGTGAAATAAGGGTGAAATAAGGGAATAAGCGTGAACTAAGGGTGAAATAAGGGTAAAATAAGGAAAACATAAGGGAATAACCGTGAAATAAGGGTGGTATTGCAGAACCAAGGTTAAAGCAGGGCGCCAGGCCGCTCAGAAGACAGCTGCGCAGAGGCATGAGAACCAGAGCGAACCTGCCCAGAGCGCACCTGCCCCAGCAGCAGCCGGCAGCGAAGATGCCCCCGACCGTGGCCCCATGTCACCAGATGAGCGCAAGCGACACGAAGAGAGCAAAGCACGTGTACATGCTGAACACCGAGCAAGTGAATCTAGGGTTCTAAACAATCAAACTGTTTTTTTTTGTGACAGACCGAAACCTATGGAGAAAAGTGTGTCTGCCAAGTTTAGGAGCGGGAGGCTGCTTCAAGGGTGATGGGCTTAACGCCACACGATCTGGCCCAATTCCTGCCAGGCTGTTTCCTTTTGCTGCAGCTCCTGTTTTTGGCAAGCTGAGTAAGGGTTGAATAGAGGTTTGTTTAGGGATTGAAGAAGGGGTGGGCAAGTGGTGAAGAGGCTTGGAAGGAGGGGTGAAAAAGGGGCGGATAAGGGTGAAATAAGGGCTGAATAAATGTGAACCAGAGAACATCTAGGTGGGAAATAAGGGGTGAATAAGGGCTGAGCAAGGGGTGAAAATAATAAGGGGTTAGTAAGGCTGAATAAGGGGTAAATAGGGAGTAAAACAATGAGGAAAAAGGGCTGAGTGTCATGTAAGGGTTGAAGAATGCGCGACTAGTTCAGGCTTTGGGGTTCAGAATCTTGGGATTACCTGTGAAGGTGCTGGGACCATCTCAGATACCTTCAGCATCGAGTATCATCCGGAGAAGAAACACTTCCGCGTGAAGTACCCATGTGGCTCATCGGTGTTAGTTTTCCGGCTGTGTTGCTTTTTGAGCGCGGGCTGTGCATCATGAGCATCTTATTTGTGTGGCGGTAAGGTGATGAAATTCTGAGTACACAGAGCTGCACTCGCAAGTGGCCCACGATGCGCTGTGCGTCTGCAACGGACGCCCTCCAAGAAGTCCTTGAATTCTGCTACGCTCGGTGGAATAAGCTGAACCCCGCGAGGACGTATGAGATGCTTCCCGACGTTGTTAACTATAGACTGTTAATGAGTTTGATCAGTGTGCTTCTTTGCCTTGCTTACTTTCCAAACGTGTTGTCACTGCTGCATAATGATCCAGGCCCCAACGTGCCCCACTCGAGGAGTACTGCGCTTCACTGCCAAGATCAGCCAGGGACTGACTGCCTCCTACCGCTGCTCGAATGAGCACTGCTTACAGCCAAGCCTTTCCTAAACCCTAATTTACCATAATTCTGCAGTTATTAATTTAGCCCGCACACTCCAGCCTCAAATCCTCAACCTTCCCAGAGAATCGCTATTGGCGACAGCTGTGTGAGTGCCCGTGTGCGCGTGTTTTTCAGGCTAAGAACCCATTTGTCACGCATAACCCTGAACCCTTGGAGAATCAATGTCTGCATTCACATCGTCTCATGCAAGAAATGCTGACCGCGCAGCAGGATACCCCCTCAATTAATGTGTTATGGGAACAGGTGTAATTTAAATGGAAACATAGCTTTGGAAGCCTGACGTCACGTGCAGAAACCAATCTGCAGTTGCAGCATGTGAGCCTTGAAGAGGCCACGCTGCGGCCATGTTAAACGCTAAGCTGCCCTGTGCATTTGCCGCAGCATGTGTCCCAACAGACATCACGTTGCAGCCCGGAAAAATGTCTGGGCATGGAATGAGTTCCAGGCCTGGATTTCACCATTATTCCTTTATGTCCCCTTATTTTACGCTTATTTGCCCTATGTTTACCCTTTTCCTGTGATTTCACCCTTATTTCGCACTTATATCCATTATTTCCACCCTTATTTCACCCTTATTTCACCCTTATCTCCCCTTATTTCATCCTTATTTCACCCTTATTTCATCCTTATTTCACCCTTATTTCATCCTTATTTCATGCTTATTTCCCTTATGTTTATCCATGTCCCGTACTTTCACCCTTATTTCACCCTTGTTTGGCCACTATTTCACCCTTATGTCACCCTTATTTCATTCTTGTATCTGAGTGACACCCTTGCAGCGAAAGTAGGAGGTATCCTTACTATGAAGTTAAGGTATCTCCCCACTAACATATGAGCTATAGTCTAAACTCCTCGTATCCGCTTAGTAACCCTGATAAAAGTCCTATATACCCCCCGTTAAGGAGGTTAGACACTAGCTCATATGATGGTACAAAACTGGCCTCCAGCCCGTTACTCCACTCTCGCGCTCTAGCTTCATACAGACCGGACTCCTAACCCACTTACTGTATTACTGTTGGCTAGGCAGAAGTGTAATCCCTCTGACCCATGCTTTGAGGCTCTGTAGAGAGAAGCTGTGATAGATATTAATTACTATGCAGGAGACCGACATGACGCCCTGTGGGCAAAATCCTGGATGGCCCTATACTGTAGCGCCTTAGTTCTCAAGGGTCTAGGTATGGGGGGTCATGCAGAGTTTTGTCTTTCAGCAGTAGAGCTTTGCGTGCCGAAGTGATCCCTGCGTCCTACCTCACCATTATGTTGCGCTAAACCTCCCTTATTTTCCGTGACATGCATCTCAGTCAGTGCCCCAAACAGAACCGCCTAATAAGCAACTATTAAGCCCTTATTAAGCTCTTATTTTTTTGGCGTCACTTTATCCCTTATTCCACCCTTATTTTTTTAATGTACGGCTAAATAGTGGGGGGGGGGGCACGGGGGGGGTGGGCGTGGGTTACTATGAAAACTAACTAGGCGTGATAACGGTCAGCAGCATATAATGGGCGGGATGGCATAGTAGCCCCAGGAGTGTTGACAGGGTCTAAGCCCCAAGTCCTGAACCCTAAACTCTACACCCTAAACTCTAAACCCTGAACTACCCTAAACTCTAAACCCTGAGCTCTGACCCTGCTGGCAGGTTGACCTCACAGAGAGCCGTCGGGTGAGATTTGAGGCATCGCACGGGGGATGGGCGCACAGTGAGAATATGAGCTACGGACTAAAGTGAGGTTGCGGTGGACCTACGGGGAGATATAGTCCCCCTTAAGTAGATAGAATGCGGCTTTGGGTATATCAAAATAAGATCCCCATACACCCCATATTCTATCTACTTAAGTGGACTATATGTAGTGGGTATAGAGGGACCTATGAAGTTTGTCCAGGGGTCATATAGGATTCAGGTTTTGGCTGGGGATGGTTCAGGACACGTGGATTCACAACTTAAAGCAGGTTTGGCAGCGGTCGCCTTGTGATTCTGCTGAGCTGTTTATAGGGGTATATACCAGGACCCTGCTTGTACCTTTTTAATGGGGGTATGTGGTCCCTATTTAGGGTATATAGAGGGTAGATGGAGCGTCTAGGTACGCAAGTCGAGGGTGTTAGGTTTATTTGGCAAGGAAACCCTAAACCTTAAGGGACCCCAGCCAAAGGCGAGTTTTGTGTCTCTAAGACTGCTGGGTGTCTGAAAAAGGGCCATGCCTGAGACCTGCCTGGATTCAATGGGTCGCTCAGTTTGATAGTATACTCCAGGACCTTCCTTGTACCCTTAATTGGGGTAATGGAAAATAAAATGGAAGGTACTATATTGGAGAATCAGATGGAAAAGAAAATGGAAAATGAAGTGGAAACTGGGATTATATACTAGGACCTTCCTTGTACCCTTAATTGGGGATATATGGTCCCTAATAGTGGGTACTTAGGCCCTAAAAGAGGGTAGGAGGAGGGTCTAGGCTGCTATATTCCTCAACAGGAACCCGTGTCCGTTATTTACTTGGGAAATGTTGACTGTAGCTCATAAATCTAAGGACTTTAGGAGGGACCCTCAATAAGGACTCTTGTAGCTTATGGGGACTAATTTGGGGACTACCTAGGGATATAGGGGTTATATAATGATTATATAAGGGTTATATATGGTAATGGGATGAAGGGTCCCCATTAGGGGTCCCTCCAAGGAGCCGCAGAGGAGCAATTCTTCCTAGTGTGGCCAGGACTCAGCTGGCGTACGAGCAGTAGCGCGTTAAACCTACCTGGACCCCAAGAGTATGTAAACTAATGGCCTTTGTGGCTATTATTAGGTGTTTAGGGCTATTATTCTACCTACTTTAAGGGTTTAGGTAGAGGAAGCTTAGATGTCCTGAGGCTTTCCATGCTTTCATCTTTCTCGGGTGAAGGGTCTACCGCAGAAGTCGGCCCTCAGGTTTGTCCTCAACTTGTCAACAATCAACACTGAATGGGGGGTTGCCCTAAACTGGTGGTACCTTTATTTAAGTGGTGGGGAGTTCCCATAATAGAGACTATATAGCCTTTGGGGGTTTAGATTGGAAGCCCCGTAATTATTCAGGAAAACTACCAAATCTCCGCAAGTCTATCGCCTCTTGTGTCAAGGCTTCCAGAAACTTTTGCGGTCTATCGGGGAACAGATTCAGCATGTTGGCCTGATTGGCGACGCATCTACCCTAAACC